GAGGTTGGGGCACCCGGCTTCGGAGCGGAGGGGATGGGCGCGCGGGGCGCGCGGGGGTCGGGGCTGGGGCTCCCGGTTCTCTCGCCGCGCCTGCCCCTGCCTCACGTGTGACCTTGGTCAAGTCGCGCGATGCATGGAGTTGGAGAGACCCGGGTTCGAGTTCTGGGACTACCAGCTTCCTCACTCTGTGACCTTGGGCAAGTTGTTTCGCCTTTGTGAGCCTCAGTTCCCTCATCTGTGAAGTGGGGACTTGCCTCGCTGGGTGGTTGACTGTTTGATGAGATAAAGCTGGGAAAGTGCTTAGCGCAGAGCCTGGCGTAAAGTCAGCCCTGGGTAGATGCTAGCTATTGATGTGATTGTTAGTGCCCTTTGTAAGCCTCAGTTTCTTCCTCTGTAAACTGGGCATAATCCCAGAACCTGTCTCATGGGATGGTCTCGCACAAGGCCTGGCACATTCCTGCTGAATTATTATCTGTATGGTTCCGTTTCCCCATCTGTAAAATGGAGCTGATAGTAGAATCTGCCTCGCAGGGCTGAGTGAGTATTCAGTGAGATAATGCACACATAGTGTTGTGAACAGTGCCTGCACGGAGAGAGTGCTCAGTACGTGTTTGCTGCTACATACTGTATACTAGATGGGTACTGGAGTTGGGTCAGCCAATATTGCAAAAGGGCTCTGACCACGTCTACACTCTTGGAGAGCTCCTAGCTCCCTGCACGGCATCTTCTCCAGGGCCTGGTGCAGTGCCTTGCAACCAGTAGGGGCCTAAAACACATTTGTTGAATGAATGAATCAATGTTAAGTTCCTAGAAAAGACAGGTTGGTTTCTGGGAAAGGGTGGAGGGTTTTAGAGGTGTTGTAGTGTGGCAGGTAAGCAGGTTTATGGGGTGACCAAGAGGTCAGGGAGGCAGGCCCTGGGGGGTTTATGGGAGCATAGCTGAGGTGCTGGGATTATATGATGGGGAAGGAGGCTTGGGAGCATGCCAGGTTTATAGACCAGACCTGAGTTGAGTGTGGGCAAGGCCGTCATATGACTAAAGGCAGCGGCCAGGTTGGTGGTAGAGCCCATGGGTTGTTAAGGAAAGGGGAGCAAATCAAAGGGGTTGTAGGACATTGACGGAAGAGTGTTGGGTGACACTGGGCCATAGCTGGCCATGGAAGTGAGTGGGTTTTGATCTCGCTGTGAAGTGAGATTGGGGTGTGGTTGGTGGTCTGGATCTGGTGAAGGATGGCTGAGGTTTCTGTTGTTACTGGTGGAAGGGAGAGGTAAGGGGAAAAGTTAAGGGCCAAGAAGGGAGATGCAGAGTAGCTGTGGTCAAGGAAGGAGTTAGATGGGTGGAGGATGGATTCGTTGTGGTTTGAATGAGAGAAAACCAGATGAGCTGTGTAGACTCACCCTTGGAGATGGACTCTGGTTATTCCCTAGGGTCCTGAGGCTTTCCACCTTTACAGGATTTGATTTCAGCCCCGGCCTTCGTTCTCAGGGGCTGACACCAGAGTAATTTCTCTCCTTTTGGAGTTAAAGTAAGCCCACCACGGTCAGGGGTCCTTATCCCTCTAGGGCTTGTGTGTTGATACCCAAAAATGAAAAGCATAAATTCTGTAAGAAGATGCAGCTTGATGGCTTTTCTCTGTAAAACCCAGGGGATGGTTCTGGCCCCCTTTCTCACAGTACATTTTGCTTGGTGTATTGATTTTTCACCCAGAAGTCAGGTGTGGGAGAAGACTCGCTAAGTTATGTGGCTGGCTCCTAGTTCAGTCTGAGCTTGTAGAACTACATCAGGTACAGGAGTCAAAGCTGGACCCTTCTGAGCCTGGGAGATGGAAGTTCAGACTGAGCGTGGCAACTGAGGGAGAACGTCAGGCACCGCCCGGGACCGGCACCTTATGGGGAGGCTTTCTTAGGGTTTTTCAAATGATTTCACAGACGCTTTCATCTGGTTCTCACCTGCTGCCTGTGTGACTTGCCACATAAGGAAACTAAGGCTCAGAGGCGCTGACTGACTTGCCCGAAGTCACACAGCTCGTCACAGGCAAAGCCAGGAGTTAATGCACGTCGGTGCTATGCGTGAGCAGCTGGTGTCAGGCCTGGCGGGCCCTCAATGAATGTTCGCTTCTTTCTTTATAAATGTAGAGTTCTTCCCACTCTGCCACATCGTATACGCTTCTGGGATACATTCCCTCAGCTTTGCAGCTCTTCTTTATGGCTCAGGTTCTACACTTTCTCTTACGTTCTTCTGATCGGCTCAGAAGTGTCACAGCATTTCATCTGAACTGTGGGGCCAGCCATCCTCATTCTTAGAACCTGGAGGCTGGAGTGGCCATCAGAGAACCAGTTAAAGCCTTTTACTTTACAGACGAGTGAGCTGAGGCTCAGAGAGAGGAAGTGACTTGCCTGAGGTCGTACAGTGAGTGGGTGACTGAGCCAAGATTAAAACTGCGAACGCTTTACTCAAAGGTCTAAGGGTCTTCAGCAGTCCAGAACTGAAGCCCAGACGAGTGAGGGAACTAACTGTAAGCCCAAGGGAGGAGCAGGGCTGAGGGTGGGGACTTCTGTGGGGGCTTTTTGAGGACCAGAGCATCTGTGTAGGCCAAGAGGCAGGGAGCAGGGGAGAGCGGTGAGGGCTGAGGGGCACGTGCGGTGTTTGCCGAATAAATCGGTCTCCTGGCTGCCTGTGGTCTTCGCAGGGTAGGAGGTGATGGGGCAGGACTGGTTGGGTTTCGTGCCGGGTGCGGCCCTTGGGAAGCCCTTGACTTCAGCCGTGGCGAAGGTAGATTGGTACCTATCACTTCCTCCCTTACGCCAGTGCTGTGGGATGAATGGAAGCAGCATGTTTTCCCGAGGAGGCCTCTTCCAGGGATATTTAGGAGAGGTCATTTCTCAGGGCGGTTTCTCTTCCGTTCAAAGGGAAGAGCAGTGCCGGAGCTCGGTGTCAGGCCCAGAGCAGCAGTTACGTGGTGACGGTAGTGGTCGTTCTGCAGGCGGTTTTCAGCGGCTCTGCAGAGCAGCGGGGTGAGTGCAGGGGACTCGGAGAGGCCAAGCCGGAGGGCACACTGCTGCTTCCTTGCTTCTTGCAGAGAGAGCAACTCCCCCTTACCTCTTGTATTTTTTAATTTTTTTTGAGAGAGAGAGCAGTCGGTGGGGAGGGAGGGGCCGAGGCAGAGAGGGGGAGAGAATCCTAAGCAGGCTGCACGCCCAGCGCAGAGCCCGACGAGGGGTCACGATCTCACCTGAGCTGGAACCAAGAGTCAGATGCTTAACTGACTGAGCCACCCAGGCCCCCCCCCAACCTGTTTGAGATATATGGGATCCAGATAAAATTTAATTTTAAAGAAGGATTCTGCTGCCCCCCTGAAAGTTTGAAAACCACTGCTTTGGCTTCTGTGGATGCTGCGGTCAGGCATTCGATGGTATAGCTGTCAGTGCGATTGGCGTTTGTTTGGGCCTAAATTCATTAAGCCATGCTTTGTTGGTGTCGACTAAGTGCTGGGCCCAGCTTCCAGCGCTGTAAATATCCAGGGCAAGGGAGGCAAGATCTCCTTCCTAGAGGAACTCACAGCTAGTGGCCCAGACACAGCTTTTAGCTGAGTAAGCAGGCCCAGAAGGCTCCAGGAGGAAGCCAAGGAGCCAGCAGGCCTGATGGAGGGTCGGCGCCAGGCAGAGCACCGTGGGGACCCAGCCCAGGGCTTGGGCTCTCCTTGGGCTCAGCAGGAAGCCTCGCAGAAGTGGCGATGAGGAAGTGGCTCTAAGCAAGAGTCCTGCGGGCACGGGGGGCTGAGCAGCAGGTACCGTGGGCGCAGCACCCGTCTGCTCAGAGCCGCGCCCCTGTCTTTGGGAAGGGAAGCCCCAGGTTCACTCCATGAAACAAGTTCTGGGTATCTCCGGACCACTCATTCATTGGAGGAGTCCCCAGAAGAGAGCATCAGAGAGGACTGGCCAGAGAGGTTGTCTGGGGTTGCTTAGGTTTCTAGAAACTGCATGGGAGGGGGGCGGAGGCAGCGCCCTCTTAGGCTCTGCTGGACGCCGGTGGGCCCCTCCCCACACATTTGCACTTAGCTTGGGGGCACTTGAGACCCTAGTGGAAATCTCCCGTCTAGTAGGCTGCTGCAAATCTAACAGGAGTCAGATGCAGAGGCCCCTTTGGGGTCTTTTTGTTCCACTTTCTGAGCCAGATGCAGGAAGACTGCCCTGGCGGTATGTGTTGGAGAGAGCACTAGAGCCCCGGAGCAGACAGCCCCGGATTCCCATCTCAGCCCCGCGCTTCCCTGTGGAGGCCCCGAAGGCCAGCTGCTTAGCTTCCCGCAGCCTCAGGTGCCTCCTCTTGAGAGACATAGCTGGAATGACAGGGGCATCCAAGTGCCCTTCACACACTCAACTCTGTGTGTGCCGATTCTTTCCTTCTGGGGTTGGTTCACCCAGTCGGCCTTAGGCTTGGCAGGGGTAGGGGATGGGGTGGGGGAGACAGGGCAGGTGCACAGGCTAGAGCTGCTCCTTTTGAGGTAAAGGGAAGCCAGGCTTATGGGGTTCTGCTTGTTCTTGGGACAAGTATGTTAGGGGCTGCCGTGCTAAGTCAAATGGTCTGAGCATGTGTGAGCTCTTGGGCTGACAGGTGTAAGGCAGACTCCCCCTCCTCACCGATCCAGCCGGCAGTGACATCAGCAGGGGGAGGATGGTTGGCAGTTGGTTTGTGTTGTCTGGGCCTCAGTTTTCTCACCTGTAAAATGGCCTTGATGATCTCAAGGGTCCCTTCCGGGTTCACAGTTCCTCATCTCATGCTGTGCACAAACTGAAGCTCCACACACGGTGTATACTTTTCTAGGGACCGTGTGTTTCAGACACACTTTGGGGCCCAGATCATTTGGCTGACCTTCCTCCTGCTTTATTTCTCTCGTCTGGTATCTTCCTCTGGTCTCATCAGCACAGGGCCTGGGCATAAGCCCCTTTCTCATCTCTCCCCACGGGACTTGGGGCAGCTTCTCTCACACCAGGACAGAGGAAAAGGTCAGACATTGAGTGGGAGAGATGTTCTTGGTGTGTGGCCGGCCAGTCAGGGAGATAAAAAGCAGCACTGAGGTGGGAGATGGGTCTGCTGAGCTTCTTAAGAGTTAGCATTTGAATGCCATCTCCCTGAAGGACTGGGTTAGAGGGAGGGACCCATGCGCCCTCTCATCTCCTGCTTTCTCTCCTGCAGGTGTGGGCAAGAGCAGTTTACTGTTACGTTTTGCCGACAACACTTTCTCAGGTGAGTGTGCCCCCTGGGATGCTGCTGGAATATTCTGGGTTTGAGATCCCTTTACCTGGCCAGGCCTTTGCCTAAGGTCTGTCTGGTTCAGAAAGTCCTTTTGTAAGCCCATCCCTTTTCTACCCGGAGACTTTTTGTGCCCCAGCATTTAAGGGAGGAAAAAAAAAAGTTAAGTATTACAAGTTAGTACATGCTTGTATAAAATGTCAAACAGGCAGACTCAACGAGGTGAAGAATAAAAGCTGTCCCTTCACCTGCCCCTACTCTGTTGCCCTGGGAGCCTCTGTTCAGCATGGTGTGTGTCTTCCTGACGTTTTTCAACTTTACATGTGATGGTTTGGCAACTGGCCTTCCCCTCGGAATATCAAGGACCATCCTTGCCCATCTCTAGCAGACCCCTGGTTCTTCTGAATGGCTGTGGATTTTCCTGAGCTGTGCATGGATCTACATCATTCATTAGCAGTGCTCTTGATATGTGCGTGCTTTCTGGATGCTTCTATTTTAAGTGATGCATTACTTCGGATGCATCGTATGTTTATCCTTGTATAGAAGTGGAGTTACTAGGTCAGGGTATGGGCTTTTGAAACTGCCATCTTGCCTTTCAAAGAAGCTGTGCTAAGTGACACTCCCACTAAAGGGGTCAAAAGTGCCCCTTGTCAACCCTGATTAGTGCTGCATCTTAGTCTTCATTTTTGCTAAGCTAATAGGCAGAAAGTGCCATCACTTAAATGTGTATTTTCCTGATAGCTGGTGAAGTTGGACATGTTTTCGTTGAATATGTCAGGTTCATTGCAGAGGCTTCTGGTTGGCTTGGCCTCTCTGATCAAGGACTGAACGTGACTCTGTCATCGGAATTCGTGTGCTGTGGTTGAGCAGCAAGCTACAATTAGGAAGTGATTACGTGGTGAACACTTCCCTCTTGGTAGAGAATTGGGTTTCGCCCGACAGTAGCCCTGCGGCACCCCTGCTGGTGTGATGTCGGGAAGAGTGGTCTGCCCCGTGTGTGCCCTTGGGCACCACTTAAGTCTCAGCCCATCTGTGAAATGGGACCACTCGGCGTTCCTCCCGCATAGGGTGATTGCGAGGATTACCCGAGATGCCCCGAGTCCTAGTGCCTGGACTAAGGAATCCCTCCAGAAGGAGCAGCCGGGCGTTGTTGCTGTTCTGTTCCATTCAGGGATGGTACCTACCGGCAGCTTCCCAGGCTCAGGAGCACTGCTCTTCCTTGTGTCCCTCTTGCTCTCCGCCCAGGGTCTCCCGGGCAGTGTCTCCTTTCCGTTTCTACCCCCAGCATCTTAGTTGAGAGCTTCTGCCTGTCCCATACACGACGGCCAAGTTCATCTTGCCCATACGGGGTCTCTGGCCGGCTCTTTCCTGGGGTGGCAAACATCAGCGGCCTTCTCATGTGAGCAGAGTTTATACCGGGGTTTCTCCAGCTTGGCACCATCAACACTGGGGCCCTGTGCTTCCCGGGGAGGGGAGGGGGCTGCTCTGCGTGTAAGGATGTTGAGCAGCATCCCGGGGCTCCACCTGCGAGACACTGGTCGCTCTGCCTCCCACCTTCTCTCGCCTTGGAAATGGTGCCTGTTCTTTGAGCAAGGCCCAAGTGTGACTTCCTCCCCAAAGTCGTCCTTGATCTCTGCCCCACCCTGAACTTTGACCCCTCCTATATGCACCATATAGTTGGGTGTATGTGGGTCTTGTCTGCAGCACCGCGTTACACAGTCAGCCCTAAACAGAGCATGAACATGTGCTGTTTGTCAGCCTGGGCGGGACTAGGGCATTGGCTAGATTTTCTCTTCAACTCCATCTTTCACACAGATGCCTGAATGAACTGCTTACAGTGCGGCTCAGGCTCTGATTCAGACCCTTCAGTGCCGCCCTGCCACACACCAGAGAAAGTCCAAGCTCGTGGAAATGGCACAAAGGCCCTGAGACCTGGCCTCCGGTCCCCCTACCTGCCTCCCACTGCATGCCCGACCTCACGTGACCCCCCCTCCCCCATTGCTATTTTTGCTACTGTCTGCTCTGCCTGGAGCAGTGTTTTCCAAAATGCAGGTCATGACTTGTGTTAGGAAGTTAATGTTGTGGGTCATTTACAGTGTTGGGAATAGCACAGGAAAAAAACCCCAGAGTGTGTCCTGGGTCCCCCGGCACGCTCAGGCCGGCCCTTCTAATGCAAGGAGCCTGGCCCCTCCCTGGTCTCATCCTGGTTTAATTTCCTCTGTGGTGCTCCTCACTCCTGAAATTGTGGTCTCTGTCACTGTTTCATTGTGTCCTGTCTCTTGCTTTCCACCACTGAGGGCTCCATCGGGGTGAGGACCTTATCTTTCTTGTTCAGGGCTGTGTCCCCGGGACCTCGAACTTGCTGGGCACAAAGAGCCAGTGGGGAGGGATTGTGGAGGCTGGGGTCCCCTGTGCGGGCGAGGACACGGCCTGACGGGGGCGCCCCGCGGGCCTGGCTAACGTGCGTGTGTGTGCAGGCAGCTACATCACTACGATCGGAGTGGATTTCAAGATTCGGACCGTGGAGATCAACGGGGAGAAAGTGAAGCTGCAGATCTGGGACACGGCCGGGCAGGAGCGCTTCCGCACCATCACCTCCACGTGAGTCAGGCTGGCCTCCTCCCGTTCTCCCCCCTCGCCACCTGCATTTGGATTAGCATCGGGTGTCCCAAGTCACAGAGATGTCATGGGGTGGGCTCCTTGCTGGTGGAGGAGGAGGTGACGAGGTGGGCTACTTGCCCACGGGCGCCGCTGGCTGGGGGCCCTGGCTCTGGGGGCTGTCAGGACAGTACGAGTCAGCCAGCTCGCCCTCTGGCCTTCAGTTCCTCGGGATGTAAAATGGGAGAACAGGGGTGTGGCTCCCTAGGTGGTCACTCGGTGAGTGAGTGGCTCTTATTCGGCTGGCCATGCATGCTCCCGTCACCAACCCCAACTTGGGAGGAGGCTTCCCTCTTTTGAGAGGCCCGGAAGGAGCATGGGTACGCAGGAGGCCCTCAGGAGGCCTCTCCTCTGCCTCCCCAAAGCCGTTTACCGGGAGCCGGGTTCACCCAGTGGGCCGCCCTCCTTTGTAGCTGCAGCACCTTTGTGGTTCTTCGCTGTACAGAGGGGGACCCAGCCGGGGCCCCGGACGGCAGGAGTCCTGTGGACCTGTGGACGGGCTCTTGGTTCTTTTTTTTTTTTTCAAGATTTTATTTATTTATTTGACAGAGAGAGACAGAGAGAGAGAGGGAACACAAGCAGGGGGAGTGGGAGAGGGAGAAGCAGGCTTCCCGCCGAGCAGGGAGCCCGATGTGGGGCT